CACTCATGGATCTGTTCTCAGTTGCCCCGAGCTATACTAAGTGGTTGCGTTTTGTATACAGCTAACTGGTCTACCTCAAGCCAGTTGAAATTTTTAAACACTACGTTTGATTCCAGTTTGTTTCTATTGGTTATGAGTAGCCCCACTGGGGGATTGGTTAATTAATTAACGTGACAGTATTATTATTACTAATATTATTATTATCATCATTATTATAAATATTATTGTCTTAATGGCGTTCTTCATTCAAATCATACTAGGAACCTTTCACAGTAATTTACTTTTAAGTTCCCTTGTCATTAACTTTCCATTCTTTTATGTTTTTTTTTCGTCCATCTGTGCGCAGGAATTGAAACGTTAACATTCTGACGCTTCCTTTGTTTTGTGGCGCTTAATAAAAAATATCACTGCTGTACAAATATAAGGAGACCGGAGACTTCGAAGCCACAACAAAAATTATTCGGCAGTTGTGTCTGAAGAAATCGCTAAGTATATAGAAAATGACAACCAGAAACAGTCGCGCGGGGTGATCGTTTCACTGTTTGGGAAATCTCAAACTCGTAATCGACTCTCTAAAAATCTCTTATTTTCCCTCGCGATCTGCCTTTTAAGGTCCTCTCCAGCGTTCTTGTCCAGGAAGGAACGCTTCCAACCACGTGTCGCGTGTGTGGGCCTCTACTTTGTGTCCCCTGGAAAATGAGTGCCTCAATGGACGACACACTTGTAACAGGATTACGCAGGACTGTGTGGACCTACCGGAGGCGTTCAAGTGTGTTTGTAAAGCGGGTTACAACGACACAGGGAACCCAGGGTGAGTAAGAGTCATGAGTAACCTAGGAGGATTGCGGGAAAAACTGATACGTGTCTAAAGGGTTAAGATGGTGTGCAAGAACTCTTTTTTTATACTAATGAACCGCGCTTGGTTAGTTCGTTTAAGCTGTGTGGGAGGAGGAGGAGGAGGGTTCAAGCCCCAGGCAGGATCAACGCTTAGGGTCTTAAAAGAAGTGAGGAGAATGTGCTGATTTTGCTAGGACATCCACAAATGGTTCGACATTCTAGTCTTCTCGGATAAGGACGATAAACCGTAGATCCCGTCTCCTGCATTTTCTCCGTACTGATTAGCAGGGGACGTTAAAGAACCCACGCACTTTACCCAAAGAGCAGGGACCGTAGATCCCAATGTTGTGGTCAGGCTTTGTTATTGTTGATGCAATATGGAAAATGAATAAATGATCAAATTAATAAAGCAGTTCACCTATCGCTGATCTCTTTCCAGAATTTGTCTGCCAGTCTGTTCTAAAGGATGCGTTCATGGCCGCTGTGTCCGCCCAGAAGTATGCGAATGTAACTTTGGTTGGACCTCTACTGACTGCTCTGTTAAATGTCAGTGTAATGATCACGGACAGTGTGCGAATGAGACACATCTGGATGTCTGTTACGGCTGTCGGAACCACACAGTAGTAAGTTGTTGTCACGTAACTATCTTTAATGGTCTGGAGCTTTCTGCCTTATCACGAAATATTTTCTACCGCGAGAATTGTTGCACGATGCTCTTCACATTATCCAATTGCGCGTTTTAGATTTTGAATAAATATCATGGTAGCGAATTTCCATGCAATGACAAACCTGAGGTTACTGAAAGGTGATGTTATTCAGTGAATGACACGGGTATACTCGGAAAGAAGACGGAACTCCGAGTGCTCCCGAGTCAAACCGATGAGCTTCCGATTAGTACCTCAAAAGCCCTATCACTAAGTTACAGGAGACTGGTGGTAGGCTAGGCCGTTAAACCAGGTCTGTGTTGACAAACTTCTTGCTCACTGCAAGGATAGGAATGTTGATGAAAGACGCTTTTGCGCAATGATGATGATAGGTTACTGGTTTGTTGCGCATTTCCTCAGGAATCGTTACATAATGTGCCAAACAAAACCCTAATCAGTGTCATAGCTGTGGCTGAATTATCGCAGTGATTGGGTATTTTCAAAAAATGCTCTTTGAGAACCATTTTAGGGATTTTTAAACTCATATTGACGGGTACAGCTGTTAGTTTTCCACGCAAAAACTGTGGTGTAAGGGTCTTTTGTTTGATATATTCAGGGTCAAAGCTGTCAGTTCTGTGAAGCTCTGTACGTTGGAGATGCAAGAAACAACGGCAGCTGTGTATCATGCTATGACGCGTGCAATCATCGAGCACATGTGTGTATGAACAAAACCGATCTACAGCGTGGCCGGAATCTGTCTCTGTCTTTTAACTATTCAAAGGTTTGTGGACTCTTGCTGTTAAATTTATGTGTAATTGAACCGCAACGGACTGCATTCTTTGGCCTTTCTATAAACCAATGAGCTGGCGAAATCGGTACTGAGCGCGAAAACCTTGTAAACGGTACCAAAGTCGGGAAATGTGTCATCGGTACAAATCACAGTTAACCCTTTAATTCTCAGAACAGGGCGTGAAATTACCTTTTTTTTCTGATAGCCACTTGGCTCCTAAATTCTTCAAAGTGGTAGCCACTTCAAAAAAAGTTGGTCGCCATTTTCAAAGACAAAAAAAATCTTTCTTTACGCTGTCAGCGTTCTAGATAGACCCTCCAAAATTAAGTTAGGGAAAAGATCTTTAACGTGCTACAAAATGGACACTAGGATGGATGATAAACAACGTTCAGGCTCATCTAAATCCAAGATGGCGTCTAGTTATCGATCGAGATGCATGTAATACGTTTTGGAAACAAACTTAACGAGGAAGTTTGCCGCGGATTTATCTTTGCAAATCTTTTTAATTTACTATATCTCTTGGTAAGGTTATGATGAAACGTTCTAGTCGCCAATTTGGCGACTAACTTTCAGGATTTGGTCGCCAAAGTGAAAAATTTAGTCGCATTGGCGCCTGTATTAGGCGCAATTTCACGCCCTGCAGAAGTGATTAACATTTAACCTCTCCCCATGATATCCATACTTTATCCAGCAAACAGGTCGTGAGAATACTGAAACTCATCGGGTACAAGATATTACCTCGATAAAACACCAAATTCTTGTAACCAATTTACAAGGAAATGTGCATAAGCTAGAGGGAGAATTAACAATCAAATCTTGGGAGTTGAAGGGTTAACTCACATGTGGGTAGGCCCTTAACATTAGCTCTGTCGAACTCACGTTTGTGTGCTAAGCTAGACCCGTTGAAGACCTCTCGTCGGCGAGAGGTCTGAGCGTTGCGCAAAGCCTCATACTTTCCCGCAGGGGAAGAAACACTTGAGCAGAAGCGTTAATAATGAGGGCTATCTGGCGAGCCGGTGCCAATGGCGGATGAAGCGCGGTAAAGCGTGTGAGCGGCGCCAAGCGCGAGGAAACATGCAATCAGCTTCTCACGCGGGGAAACTGATCTGTGATGAGATAAGCGAAAAATGATGTTCAACCTGTGTAAGGAGTGATCGTGTTGTTCCACTGTTGAAGTGCATGCGATTATGCTTATTTAACATGGCTTCTTAGTATTAATCAAATTTGACCGAAAACAGGTGAAGGACTGGGTAAAGCATGGACCGTACGAGATTAAATACGAAGAAGAGTGCCTGTGTCAAAACAACAGCAAAGGTGTTCAGTGTGATTCGTGTGTTACTGGGTTCTTCGACCTCAAAGGCGAATGCGTTAGGTTTGTGTTGTCTTCACATCTCTGTGTTTATGATGGGACAAAGAATATTTATAGATGCTAAGTTGTGTATATTGTTATTATTATTCCTAACTCGAACCAAGTGAAAGTTTTATTTGATAGAGTTTCCACAATAATTCTTCTACTTTAAGGGTATTTTTGTTTTACTCGTCGTGAGCGAAAATATTCCTCAGCCATTTCGTGACTTTATAAGCTTTTTTGTTCCCCGGTGTTTGAGTTCTTTGTACAGATCTGATGACGTAAAACAAAAGAATGAGAGACAGAGCGAAAAAGGTCATTCGCACGCGACAAATCTTTAAAATGTCTCCTTTAAGGCTCACGCAATATTTCTTGAAGCGAATAACCTAAATTGTTCTTCATTTTTAAATGATATATCATTCCAGGGAAAGTTCCTCAATTTGGCCGCAGAATATTGATCAAGTGATCAAGCGTTTGCGGTCCAATTTTATTTTTCTCGGCTGTCCGTACTGCACTTTGTTCTTGAATGACAACTTGGAAATCAAAACTTATTTCAGTAGTTCTTTTTGTCGCCATGTAAGTCAAATGAAACCAGATTCAAAAGTGAAATGGTAACTACCATATTTCTATCAATGTATGACTTAATATGTTTTGTTTGTTTTTTACTTCAGATGTTTGTGTAACGGACATGCGGATTCTTGTAAGGATGACGGGAGATGTCCTTGTGGCAACAACACAATGGAAGACTGTCCAAACACAGAGGATTGTTACAAAAATCAGGCAAGTGTTATTTTTGTTTTGTTTTGTTTTTTTGTTTTTCGGTTGTTTTTTTGTTTTTCGGTTGTTTTATTTTGTTTTATTTTTTTTTCTTTTACAGCTTGATGGGTTTTTTTTATTTGTGTATTTGACAGGGCTATTTTCCTTAGAATAAACGGGGTAAATTTCTCAAGGAACTGTAGTGCTGCGTCTGTGGGGGTATAACAAGTTCATTTAGTTTTTATCAATGGGTTGAAAATGTAAAATGGCCACCGTAATTTTTTTTTAAAGTTGACGTTTCGAGCGCTACCTCTTCGTCAGAGCAAAGAACATTGGAGTCAACCTTTAGCCTTCAAAAAAGGCTTTAAAAAGGAAATTATCAACAAAGTTTCCTGCTAAAAAATCTGAAAAACCAAATGTTTGGGAATCACCGAAACACTGCACAGATGAAAGTGGCCACACACTGCCTTTTTCATTCTGAAAGGCATTTTTCGCGCGAAAATTTGGTTCTTTTAAGCTGCAATCAGGTAGTAAGGACGGTTTCCGGCTATATCGGAAGTTGTACACACGGAACAAGATAGTCACGCGATACATTTCCCACTCGCTTAGTCGCGCGATGGTTGTATTGCGTAATATGTCACAGGGTTCCTGTGTATATTCTTGAATTACTGAAAAAAAACAGTGAAAATTATGAAATAATTGCAGAACCTGGAGAAAGTTTCGAGAAGAAAGATGAGATTTTGAAAAGAATGAAAGGATATTGTGAAGTTGTTTCTAAGCGAAAAGAGATGCTTGATTACTCTGTAAGAATATTTACATGATAAGTTAGCGGACTTACACCTTTTTTCAGTTCTCTAATTTTATTTACGTGATTTTGGAAAATTTTAAATTTTTGAGCAAACCTTAAAAATAAAAGTCGCTTTATGCCGTTGACTGTAAGCTTGAAAAATGAAAATAATTTTTTTAAAAAAGTCGTTTCAAAAAGCTTGGAACGTAGTGCACAAGAACCCTTCCGACACACCTTATATTTAAGATTAGGTTACCTTTAATTTCACCTCTAAGATCTCGTTAGTAATTCTCCTTACAGTCTGTCATATAATTCTTATGAGGTTGGTTCAGAGAACTTGGTATTTGATCAACTCCTAATCCCCTAATTGACATTTTTCTCCTTTCTCATTACTTGCCTGCTTGATATTGATTGATATTGTAAGGAGAAATTCTGTCTTGGTCATTCATGGGGTCAAAAGGGTTAAACTAACAAGAAACTATTCCACTCCACAGTGCGTTAAATGTAAAGAAACCTTCATGGGTAACCCAGTCAATGATCAGCAGTGCTACAGAAAAATCAGCGTCATGAAGGAGTTTGTGATCGGTAAAAAAACATCAGAGACCAGCGAGGAAACAGTAGAACCGTTACCATATGGCCAAGCTATTTTCTACGCTATATATCCCAGGTTTACTAACGTGGATATTCGCATGACTATTGATGTGTTCGAGGGATCAGTCGATGTTTTCGTTGCAGATGAAAATGACGAATTCACAGTGACTCTTAACGAAACCTCTGGACATCATAAAGTGAAAATCAAATCACTTGCCTCGTCAAGGTAAGTACTAGGCCATTTTCATTATGTTATGGACGTAAGATAAGAAAACTGGGTCTAGAACACCTTAAAAGTGTTTCTTGTCGGAAGTTTCAACAAGAAAAGCAAAACGAAAAAAGTAGAACCACTTAAAAGTTTGTTTGCTCTTTTAAGTACTTTTTCTTGTGAGGTTACTAGTTAGCCTCGATCCCACACACTCGATCCAGTCTGCCGGGTCGTGAAGAATGAGAACCACATGGTAACCTGCAAGTAACCACCCCCACCCCCACCCCTCCCAGGTTTAGTGACGGCTACTAATTAATTTTCTCGGTCAATTAACACCCGCAGACGAAAGAAGCGAGCATCAGAACAAGACGGAGTTGATAGCTACAGCGGTAACGATAAGGTGAACGTAAAGGTAGCATCAAGTACTGACCTAAACACCTTCGTTTCATACCAAGATAATCACAAGGCACTTGTTATTCGAGATGTCAGGAGACGTCTTGTGCTGACATTCCCTCACATGTCACACTACCTGCGTGACACAAGATTCTATATGGTGTTTGTTGGCCGTGACGGGTCTGGGACCAAAGGTCAGGTATACTTCAGGCAGGATTTGTCCCAGATTGATTTGTTCGTGTTCTTTTCAGTGTTTTTCTCCGCATTTTTTCTTGTGGTTTCTGTCAGCGTATTCGGCTGGAAGATCAAACAGTATCACACACGAAGAAGAGTTATCGAGGTGCAAGAGCATCAGCTGAGAACGATGAAAAACAGGCCATTTGCAACGTACTCGTTTCTCTGTCAAATGAAAAAGCCACAGCCAAGTCTTTGGCGTGTCAAACGTGACATAGCTACTCTCCTATTGCGTGACAGCTCATCGGTCAAAAACAACCATTTACGACTTAGGGACGTAAAGGACCGACCTGTTATAGCCCCTGTTAGTCAAGAGCATACTGCAGATGGGCGCGCATCCGTTACCACAGTAGTGTTTCAACTTCCGGGCAACGAATGCTCTGATTTTCAACTGATGTTAGGTTCTTCCTTGACCGTCGTTTGTAATCAACATTCAGTTGGTGGTGAACATCACAGTCGCAATGGAAGAACATTTGGTACGAGAAGGACAGTCACTTTTACTAATTAATTATTTGTATATAGAGCAGTAAATAATGACAACTTTTTCCAGAAAAAGTTTTTCCGTTCTTATTCGAAAGTTTAGGTCGTCACGCAAGGCTTGACAGTCGCTGCGTGATAATCTAAATCTTTCGAACGTACCCTCTGTCACGCAATGCCATATTTACGTTTCCATAGGTAGTTAGATGATGAAATTGTACAGAGGAAATGAAACGATTTCGACCTTTGTCGACAGTCAGATTCAACTCATGCATTCTAAATATACGCGATTTTTCTTCTTTAGATCCACTATTTATTTTTTTAATTTTCCCAATATGTGACCACTTCAAATAAAATTTGTCGAGAATGTTATGTGGCAAAAATCGGAAATGATGCGTAGCAATGAAATGATTCAGTGAATTTAAGTAGGTTTTGTATTGAAATCCGACTCATCGCCGCTCCCCTAAATCTCTCCGAGACGTTATTGTTTTAAATAGGCAATTCTAAGGGGAGGTGGAAGGAGAGATGATAACGTAACTACTATACACATTTTTAATTAAAAAAGTAAAAACTCATTTAAAAAAAAAATGTGACCTGGAGCTTGTAAAAATAAAATTCTTTGAACTCATATGGTAAGTTTACTCTTTTTTACCTGTGCCATCTTTCTCAGTTATATTTTGAGAAAAGCGCACACAATCATAACACTCGAGCGCTCTTAGCTCAAACTCTTATGAATGCTAGGATTCTTTGAGTTTGAAAGTTGTGACTTTGTGCGGTTAAGGTGCTAACAGAGACAAAATTCTTTGAATTTGTCTTAATTTTGTGAATGAAATATTTTCAGGCAGATTGGTTGCAATGACTTAAAAACTTCACATGTGATATATGTGATAATCCAAATAATCTAAAATTATATATCTGTGGGTATTATGGAATTAAGGGATGTGTTAAGAGGCCATTTTGGAGGCAAACCTCTCTAAGCCCTAGCCAATCTGAGATTACTCTGTTTGGCACATGCATAAATATAAGAGGATAAGGATTTTCAGCGCAGACCGCCGATGAATATTCAATTATTTAATAACTGAAGAAAAAACGAGGTTGCGATCCAATACCTTCTCTTGAGTAGAAAATGTCCCCACAGGAAATTTTTTGGCCCTCCGCTCCACACCCTGGTTTGTGGAATGTGACAAAAAAATCTCAGAATTTTATCAAAGCCTGTAGAGTTGTCGAAGTATTTTCTATCATATTGATTCTGACGCCAATAATAGTTTCCAATCAGTGAGAGCAGTGATAGGGATTGTTCATTGAACGATGCTTCTTCTATTGGAGAGGAAACGTCTGATTAGTCATTAAGATTAATAAGTGACAGACGGCCAATTTAATCACCAGTTTGAAATCGTGAGGTCTCTCGCTGAGTTGCAACTTAACAAAGACCGTTCGACCATGCATCATCAGTTCAGATTGAATGATCTGTTATCTCAACGGCTATCGACAGCGTTTGGTCAACACAACACATCTGGGCAAGAATACCTTTGTCTGCGATGACGTCGGCAATATAAATTTGTCCAATGACAATTCTTCACCATATCGGGTTAGCGGAATATCAGATCACCAGGGGACTGTAAAAACGATTCTCGTTTCTTCGGAACACATTCACCCACACATATTGCTCTAACATGGAAGAAAGAAAGCGGTCTGTTACTGTTGCCATCGATTTTGGAACGACATACTCCGGGTTTGGTTTTGCTGAAGCAAACGTTTCGGGCGAGTCGGGTATACAAGTATTTCGTGGATGGGGTCGTGGCCAAGGATTCAGCTTCTACAAAACACCAACCAGCGTCCTATTAGCGCCGGATGGAAATTTTAGCAAATTTGGCCATGCTGCTGTCGAAGCTTATGCCAAAAATCTGGCTAAAGGAAATAATCAGGATATCATTTACTTTGAGAGGTTCAAGTTAGTTCTCTACAATACAAAGGCAAGTGGTTTGTTTACGCTTTCGCGTCCAGCTCACGGGTACCTTTTGTCTCAGTTTTTATTGATTTCTTAAAAATTCCTTCATTTTTTCTTTCTCCTCCTGTCTCCTTTCTGCTCTAATCTAATTTATAAGTTTTGCCTCTGAATTCGTGTTGATATCTATAGTGAAAAATGCCGTTCAAAATTCTGTGACAACACAGCAAAGAGAACATTTTTGAAAAACCAACGTGTCCAAATGAAGCAACGCGCGCATAGATTCCCAAGTGATTGTGTGAACTGATGAAATAAAAAGCCACGCACGCTGATGTTTTGTCTTGTTGATATTACCGACAGCCTAAGCATTCCTCACGAAAGAAAGCACTTTAATCAGATATTGAGGTGAAATTTCTGCATTATAATGTCTTTTGCAAACAGTCTCATTTTCTGGCGTTGTTTTTATCTTTTCTCAGCATGAAATTAGGACATAATACAAAAGACCTATTTAAAGGAGACCGCTCTTTTCTCGAAGCTTATTTTCAACAAAATTAATCATGGCTTTGCTGCCAAATTGTCTTCTCGTTCAGAATATTTCTTTAACTAAAATACGATCAAACCGATTTTTCAAATGAAATTTTCTGGAACGATATTTAATCAGGTTTTCGCTTTGTTTATTTGTATGCGATCAAGAGAAGATTCCAGTTTTGTCAAAACGACCTGACAGACGAGGTCAATTGATCCTAAGTATTTATGTTACAAAAGTAGACAGCTCAAATTGGTTTAATGTGACACGCCTCCGATTTTTCTTTTAGTGTGGGCCGCTGTTAAATACTGGAAAATTCAAGAACAATGGCTAAATATCGTTATCAGGTGTTTCATAGCACTGAATTTTTCTTTGGTGTTATTTAAGCTCTCGAACTTAACCACCATTAAAACACAGGATCAATTCGTCCCAGTTTCGTCTACAAATGAAAAGAATAACATCGC